CATGTATCAAGCTAAATAAATTATTTACCGGTACATCCTCACCCTTCATTTCATATAAATAGTAAAGTCAAGTAAGCCCAATAAATGTAATTTATAGCCTTTAACAAAACTACTGGTATGCAAGGAATGAAAAAGTTGGGAAAGAGCGAATGTAAAACTAGAAGACGAAAGATTAGAAGATGTGGCTGATTTTCGGTATCTAGGAAGTCAGATAAGTCAGGACAGAAGGAGTAGTAGGGATATAAAGCAGAGGATAGCGCAGAATCGAGTCGCCTTCAATAAAAAGAAGTCACCTCTATGTTCGCGAAAGATTAATTTAGAAATTCGAAAAAGATTGTTAAAGATGTATGTTTGGAGCGCGGCGCTACACGGGTGCGAAACATTATTGTGGTGTTACCGGGAGAATGATGAGGGTGAATACAGAAGGTTAGAAATGAAGAGGTATTAGAAAGAATAGGAGAACAGAGAAGTCTATGGAAGTCAATCAAAACTAGGCGAGATGGGATGCTAGGACATCTTCTCAGGCATGAAGGTCTAGTTAGAGACATATTAGAGGTAGAAACAGGAGTTAAGGAGGAATCTACTCCTTAAGGAGTAGAGGTAGCCCTAGATTAGATTAGTGTTCGCAAATAGTTAAGGATGTGGGATGTTCTAGTTTTATAGAACTGCAAAGATTAGCTCAGGATAGCAAAAAGTGAAGGTGCGTGTCCAATCAGTCATAGGACTGATGACGTTATGATGATGAATAGATATTGGTTTTCGGTTGATGGAAAGGTCTGGCAGAAACTAGGGGGCTCCCGTCAAATGGCCACTTGCCCAGAATGCCCAATGGAAAAGAGGGACCTGGATGTAGTTAGTTAGAAAATATATATTCCACAGTCACCAAATTATGCATATTAAAAATGTCAACCAAGGAAAAAAAATACCGAAATAAGCAAAGATATGTGTCTCTTTGGTATTTATTTACTTGCAACAGTTTTCTTTGCTATTCCTTTTCTTAATTATGGGTACTCTGCCAACTGTGAGGAAACATTCAATTTTTGTAAAAGAACAAAACGTCATTCTATTTGGTACCACCGATCATCAATGCATGGGTATTCAGTATACATCTTACAATTATTTAAATGTTTTGCTTACAGAAACTTTCTTTGTAGTAACTAGTTCTTATGCAATGCTCTTTTTGTTTTCCTTAAATAATCGTAGCAGTAACCGTAAAAATATATTTCGGCATTTCGGTATTGCTTTTATCAAACTTTGCAGTCTTTAATTTAATACCTTAAAAATTCTTATACTGCTAATAGCCATAGGTCGTTCAATTCGCAAAAATTAACAACTAGGCACTATTTATATAACCTCAGTCAGTCACCTCGTGAAACGATTTATTGATACGTTATCGTTGCGTGATCAGATTAAATTGAAGCGGTACTTATGTATAAACTGAAATATTCAAGAGTAAAGTGCCGTTTTGTTTTGTGGCCCCAGTCAGTCTACCATGTGATAAATGCGAATAGCCTTGCGATGATTAAGTTTCTGACCTTAATGTAAACGGATTTAAAATCTACCCTAAGGGGTGATTCACACCACATAATTACAGTCATGCGATCTTCTTATACGTACAGCACAAAAGTAGACGTACTTTATAACGAATTTAGTATAGAGTAGTAGCAGGTACTTCTTTACATAAAACAATTGAAGGCTGTCGGGTACCACCTTATCGGTTTTGCTTGTCGTCATGGATATAATGAGAAAATTGAACTTTACTAACAAGGCTGCGCGCAAACAAATAAGGACCGTCCTTGTTAGCTAGGTACTTCTTTCAAGCTGTTCTTTATATGAATAGGTACTTACATTATTTATTTAAAGAAATCAGTTAATTTTTTCTGAGTATCCTTTTTACAATTTTGAATATCAATTTCATAAATGTTATCAAAAATGAAATCACTTTAATTTTTCGCTTCAACATTGTGAGGGAACAACGTTAAACGTACTTACTCCAATGATTGTTATCAACTGAAACCAAATGTTGAGGATGAGTACCATGGACAGGTACGAACAACCGCACAAGTGTGCTGCAGATGTCTAGTAATTGTAAATAGTCTCGCTTACAGAGGTCTAGAGTAAGAAACTGTCACTTACGGTGGTCTAGAAGTGAAAAATGACTCTGTCTAAAAGAGGTACTCACACTGTCACTCGTAGAGGTTTTCGGGGCTAAAAATGACGGGACCTGACTATTTTTGTCACTTGTAGAATTTTCTCACTTATCCAGGTTCGACTGTAGTTAATTCTAATTGTAAACTACTAAAAGTTTTATGTGTGCGCTACTCAGGTGAAAACGTGTTTCTGTATACACGATTATATAAAGGAGCAACATGATGAATTTTCATGAAAACGTCAAAAACATACTTGCAAAATGTAATTATTGGAAGATCAGTCAAAGTTATGAGTATTGCTGGACTGAGAATTTACATCAGCATATAGGTACTGAACAGTACTAGGCAATCAAATATAAAAGTAATTGCGACATATTTGTTGATGTATTGTCGGATCGAATATATTGGGCTTTGATAAAAATTAATGAGATCGAAATCGCGATCCACTTCTGTCGATTTCTATAGAATATTCTGACTATCATGAACTTTTACATCATCATAAGGTCGTCAGTCCTAACAATGGTTGGATATGCACCTCCACTGTTTCCTATCTTGAGCTAATCTTCGCATTTCCCTAAAACTAGAACAACCCATTTCCTTAACTATCTGCGAACAGTAATGTAATCTAGGTCTACCTCTACCCCCCCTAACTTATATTTCTGCCTCTGATATGTCTCTGGTTAGACCATCATGACTGAGAAGGTGTCTTAATAACCTACCTCGCCTATTTCTTACTGACTTCCATAGAGTCCTCTATTCTCTATTATTTCTAACCATCTCTATCAACGGTATCCTCATCATTCGCCTGTAACACCACATTTCAAACGATTCTAACCTTTTCTTTTCCGCCGCGCCTGCCGTCCATGTTTCGGACTCGTACAGCGCTGTGCTCCAAGCATGCACATTTAACAACCTTTAAAGGCGACCCGACTCTGCGCTATCCTCTGCTTTATATTCCTAATACTCCTTCCGTCCTGACTTCCTATATACCTAAAATCGGCCTCTTCTTCTAACGTTTTGTCTCCTATCTTTATATTAGCTCTTTCCCTACGACAATTAATCATAATGAAATATTGTACACATATTGTCATCATCATCATCATAAGGTCGTCCTAAGACTGGTTGGACACTCTTTCCTATCCTGAGCTAAACTTCGCATTTCCCTAAAACTAGGACAACCCACATCCTTAACTATTTGCGAACAGTAATCCAACCTAGGTCTACCTCTACCCCTCCTAACTCTTGTTTCTGCCTCTAATATGTCTCTGACTAGACCTTCATGCCTGAGAAGGTGTCCTACCAACCTATCTCGCCTATTTTTTATTGACTTCCATAGAGTCCTCTGTTCTC